TTTCAACAGTTTATGAAGATTAAAAACCAAAGGTGGGTTGATAACTAACCCAGCTATGTACCCAAAAGGGAGAAAACAAAAAATACACTCTACCAAACCTCTAATACACCCAGGACTTGGAAGCACTAAGTATTGTAGAAGATTGAAATGAGGACTACCTGTGTGTATGAAGAGCAACTAGATCCCAGGTCCCTTCCTCCACTAGCCAAACCCCACACGTCCAAACTCCACCTATAGGAGATTGGACCTGAGGGTCGGCAACCCCAAAGGAAGACTTGGGTAGAGCAAGGAGGGCATGAGAGAGGTTGAAAATAGAGAGATTAAGCAAAAGCTATGGGACAAACGTGGGGTTCTCAGTCCTCTCATTCTACCCTACTAACAGAACCCAGTTTCTTAGAGAACCTAATAGCCCCAAAGAGAAGACTTTGGGCTCCACTGAAATTTAGGGGATCCCAACAGAAAAGGTTAGCTCTCTGCCCGATGGCCATTTGGACAGCTGATAAACCATTACCACACATAAAGACCTAAGAAATTAGCTTTTTAGTACACGACTAATATGAATGGACAGTCTCTCCAATTTTCTAAGAAAGGCTTCAGAATGAAAGAGAGAGCCCAAAACAAATAAAAAGAAGACAGAAATGTAGGGGGAAAAACAATGCAAGAAACAGGAAAAACATGAGAAAAAAAGTCCTAATTTTATTCTCAGGGAGAAAGAAGACATTTAATCTACAAAATAAAAATAGTTTTATGAAAAGAAACAGAGAAAAAAAGATCTCTTGGAAATTAAAATATATAAATAAAGAAAATTCAACAAAAGAGATGGAGAATAACATGAAGGAAAGAACAAAAATAACACAACTTAAGGAGCAACTGGAAAGAAAAAAAATTTTAAACTGGAGGATCAATCTGGGGGATTCAATATTCAATTAACAGCAATTCTAGAAAGACAGGACAGAAAAAAAAATATCAAAAAGATAACACAGGCTGGGTTCGGTGACTTGAGCCTGTAATCCCAGCACTTTGGGAGAAGAAGTAAGAGAACTGCCTGAACTCAGGGGTTCGAGAACAGTCTGAGCAACATGGCAAGACCTCATCTCTACAATAAATCAGAAAATCAGCTGGGCATGGTGGTACATGCCTATGGTTCCAGTTACTTGGAAGGCTGAAGCGGAAAGGTCACCTGAACCTAGTAGGTCAACGCTGTGATGGCTGTGAGTGTGCCACTGAACTCCAGCCTGGGTGACAGAGTGAGACTCCGACTCACAAACACACACACACACACAATTTCCCAGAATTGAAGTAGACAAATACACAAGTTGAAAGACTCCTCTAAGTACCCATTTAAATGAATGAATAAACACACACACATCATTATAAAATGTTAGGGCTAATGAGAAGTTCCTAATAGCTTCCAGAGTAAAAAAAACAGGCCCAAGTAAATGAATGATATTAGAATTCTCACAGAAAAACTAAATGCTAAAGACAATAATGCACTGAATTCTGAGGAAATATTATTTTCAACAGACTCCAAACTAGCAATCAATCAAGAATAGAGACATTTTCAGACCCATTAGGCCTCAAAATCTCTACCTCTCATGTAGGTAATTCCTTTTCTTAAGAAGCTATTGGTTAAAAAAAAAAAAAAAAGTTATTGGTGGCTAGGCTTGGTAGCTCAGCCTATAATCCCAGCACTTCGGGAGGCCGAGATGAGTGGATTGCCTGAGCCTGTGGGTTTGAGATCAGCCCTGATAGACAACTTGGTGAGACCTCATCTCTATAATAAATCAAAAATTAGCTGGACATGGTAGCACATGCCTGTAGTTCCGGCTACTTGGAAGGCTGAAGTGGAAGGATTGCCGGAGCCCAGCAGGTTGACGCTGGGGTGGCTATGAGTATGCCACAGCACTCCAGACTGGGTGATGGAGTGAGACCCCAACTCAAAAACAAAACAAAACAAAACCAAAAATAAACAAAAGAATCATAGGCTTCAGAAAATCACAGACTCTAGAATACAACAGATTTGAGAGAAGAAGAAGAAAGAAGGAGGAGGAGGAGGAGGAAGGGAGAAGAAGGAGATGGAGAAGAAGAAGGAGAAGGAGAAGAAATTAGTGTATAAGCTTTGGCAAAAAAAAAAAGGCAGTAAATTAAGAAAAAGGAAGCCATAAGAGCAAGTGAGAAGCTCCAATATAAGCTTAAAAACAAGGAGTCTCAGAATGACTAACAAGCCATGGAACAGGCCTGGAGGGCAACATCAGAATGGCAGAAGATGAAGGATGTGAAAGAAATGTCCCTAAAGGATGACAAAAAAAAATCTTTTTAATTCAGTTAAAGGAAATTGACAGATTATCTGATGTTGTGAATTTAAACTTTTGGGTAATCACTGTGACAGTACACTAAAAAACGAAGCAATTTTAAAATCAGGCAATATTAATTCCAGAAAAAATAGGATTCTAGTAGAAAGAAAGTGATAGTTAGCCATGTAGCTCACCAGTGAACAACATGTGTATCTACTAATTTAACTAAAAGCTATGATTTAACACCAAGTTGGATGAATATAAATCTATACTAAGAGAGGTGGGGGAAGAAAAATGGGGATGGTAGGAATGTAAGAAAAGTAAATCCTGCCTACCATAAAAGGAATTCAAGTAATCATTTCTGAAATTTATACATCAAGAAAAAGTCATATAACATTTTCATATAGAAAGGTAAATACTAGAACAAACCACTAGGGGTTCAAAGTGCTTGCCTGTGGGGTGTGAAATTGGAGGAGGGAGAACTTCTCTCTTGTATTATGTCTTTTAGTTCTGATTTTTTTTACCTATGTGCATGAATTGCTTGAATTTTAAAAAAGCTAAATTCTAAAAAAGAAGACAATTTAACCTTACAAATTAAGCACGAATTTAAAGGGAGGACTGAGCTGAGCTCGGTGGCTCAGCCTGTAATCCCGCGCTTTGGGAGGCTGAGGTGAGTGGATTGCCTGAGCCCGCGGGTTCGAGACTCGCCTGGCCAACTTGGCAAGACCTCATCTCTACAACAAATCAAAAAAAAAAAAAAATTAGCCAGGCATGGTAGCGCGTGCCTGTAGTTCCAGCTACTTGGAAGGTTGAGGCAGAAGGATCGCCAGAGCCCAGCAGGTCGAGGCTGCAGTGGCCGGGAGCAGTCACTGCATTCCAGTCTGGGTGACAGAGTGAGAATCCAACTCAAAATAAATAAATAAATAAAGGGAGGACTGGAGAACTAGAAATACATGAAAAGGAAGTCCTATCTAACAGCAAGCTACCACTCACTTACCCAGCAGAGCTATCATGGGGCAACAGCCTCATCTGGTTTCTTTCATGTCAGGGCATTCCTTTCACACCAAGCAGCAACAGCAAGACTCAAAGGACACTCCCAGAGGCACCTCATTAAATAAAAGAACTGGCAGAGTACAAATTCATGATACTATAAAGTATATGGAATTAGTCTAAACAGCAGTCTAGTATTAACATATTACAAGGACACATTTCCTGAGATCTTCTGATGATTTCTAACTTCCTAAATGTGATCATGCATAGTGAAAACTACAATTCAGAGTCAAAAACTCCAGTGCATCTGTGGAAAAAAGATACTTCATCTCTTGCCTTGGAATTCAGATGTAAACAATAGCCTCCATTTCTGGACGTGTCCTGATTGAAGATAACACAATAATCCAATATAATGTAATAAAAATTTAAATGTAGTTCATTTACAAAAGAATTCTCATTAAAGTCTCTTTAATCATGGAGGCCTGCGATTCCCACAGAACAGGGACCAGGCATTGAAAATGAAAAGCAAGCACTGGTTTTGCTTAGAGGATCACAGATGTGCCAGAGACCCTACAAATTTCTCAAATTTCTCAATAACCCCACTGATCTAGACAAAGCATAATAGGGACAACCAATAGCTAATAATAACCAATATTTTTTTCTATAAATTATAGAACAACCTGACAAGCCAAAATTCTTTCAGTATTGTTCTTATTTGGTTCATCTTTTTCTTAACATTCAGAAAAATTAGGCATACTCGAAATTACATATAGGACTCCTCAAAACGCAAGGTTCCCTTAAGCTTTGGAGGTCATTTCATGTTACTAATTCACTGATCAAAACCTAGATATAATTCAAGATATATTTATACTCCCTCAAAAAAATGATTTCACAAATGTGTTTGGTCCCTTAGGGGAAAAAAGTGGCTCTAAATCACAATAAAAGCCATATTTAGGAATACAGCAAACCTTGTCAAGCACCCGTTTTGGGGGGGGGGGAAATGATACAAACCAGAAATATTGCATTTTATTTTCAAAATATTTACAAAAAAAACTGTTCATGATTTTATCTATTTGGGTAAAACAATCGAAAATGAATTTGATTATTTTCTATAAGTTCAAATGCTTATCATGCTTAAATTATAAACTTGTCACAAAAAAAAATTAACTACCAAAAAAAAGTCCCTAACAGTAGCACCTTGACCTTCATGGTCTTATGACTATGTAAGTTTTCACAGAAAAGAAAAGAAAAGACCTGATTACCTGCTCAACATCAAAACTTGCTACATTATCAAACTTTTTTTCAAATTAGACATATGAAATACAACTTATGAGCAGGAAAAGATTCCACTGAATATAGAGTATTCTGTCTGATGACCTGTGTGCTCTTTAAAATTACAAACACTTTGGATAGCATACAGTTTATCTAATACATATTAATGTATATAGATTGTTTATGTCCATTTTAGACATAAAATATAAAGTCTATAATTACAGATTTATTTTAGTAAATACCAAATATCAACTCTTAAAATAATGCCCACATAAACTTACAAGATAAATTTAAATTAAATAGGCCACACTAATCAAAGCTCAAAGACAACAAAAACTGAAAGTATGCTTCATTTGTGTATTCACTAGCAGGCCTGAATATACAAACAAACTCAAATCAATGAAGAATATGTTAGCACTTAGTAAAGATTAGACAGAATAACAATGAGTATAAAAAATACAATGTGTTGTATGATAAGTTTGAAAGCAAAAACCACATATTTATTAAATATATGATTAACTTAAAAACGCCAAACCAGTTTGTTTTAAAGTGCTCCTCATCTAAAACCTTGGTCAAAATCGTCATCCCAAAATGAATTCAAAAAGCAGATTACAAGGCAAACACTGACAATAGGATGGACAGGCACTACCAAAAAATGCTATTTGTTCTTTAATTAAATAATGCCATTCTCAAGTGATGCAGAGCAGTCACCTTGACAGAATTCGTTTTTTGTATAAATATTCATAAATAAAAACATCTCTAGATAGTCTAAAGAGCTGCAAACAATACCTTACAACAGCAGCTTAATGTCTAATTTAGGAAAAAAGCACTAAAGTCCTCTTCCATTGAAAGTTGTTTATTTCTCTGGTATAAGTGAGCAAGGTCACTACAACATTAACCTCTTTTCTAGAACGACGTAAATAACAGTGTATACACATCTCAAATTTGGTAGGTCACAAAAGTTAGGATGCAATCATCTTTTGATGCAACAAGAAAATAAATAAATAAAAATTAAATACTTTAACCCAACATTTGGTATTGACAAATCAGTAGTGTCAACTTCACATATGAAGGACAGTACAGTCTGGTTATTTTCAAATGTTCAGTATGTCATGGTATTTGGGCTAAAGATATTTAGAATATTAAGTGTATCCTTTTTTATTAAAGGAATACAATACAATCTTCACCATCAAGCTGCTATCGTAACTCATTTATAGCTGGAATAAAGCAACCATTTGGTCCATGGCACAAGTTACATATTTCACACTTCTGTCAAACTGAAACCTTATAGAGTTCATGTTTATAAGCTACAATACACACTGACCAAGCTGTCAGTCCCTCACAGTTTTTTAGAAAAATATCTACATTTGTCCTTATGGATGTCAAAATGCTACACCAACATTTGTTTAAAAAAAAAAAAAGAGATGCACATTCATACTGTGAAGTATTAGGAAAATACTTTTGCAAACAAACTATATAAAGATAAAATACACTTCAAAAGTATGTGAGTTGTTTTTCTGTTTGTTTGTTTTTACAATATTCTATAAAGTGCAGAGAAATCCTAAGGGAAAAAACTACTCCCTATAACAACAGTTTAATTACAGCAGCTTTTGCATAGCAATACTTAGAAGAAGTTGGACACTTCAGTTTCTTCAGGAAGAGAAGGATGGAAGAGGATCTTCTGATTCAGATTTTTTTTTGGCCATAAGTTTGCTTTCTTCAGGAATGATTGCTGATGCCAAATCTCCATTAAGTGTATTTTTTGAACAGTGAACAGGTCCTGAGAAGAAATTGATTAACATGTTAAATAGTCCATGAATATTAACTCCAAGAATAAATTCCTAATCAGGGACATGAAATTCCTTTAGCTTCCTGATTAAAAAAAAAAAAAATTTTAGATTGGATAATATACTTTATTTAGAAAGTAAATTAGAAAGAGAGAGAAAGAGGTGATTCACCCCCTCAAAGTAGGGGAGGGGGCCAAAGCTAGGAAACACGGCCTGCCTGCCATAGCAAGGTCATGCCAAATTGGTTGCTCGTGGTTGAATCGTTTTAACCATTTCCCTTGGATGGGGGAAGGTCATTAAGGTGATTGGGTGGTGATCTGTTTCACGTCATCACAAAGGGGCAGGTAAGCGCAGGTACTGACATCAAGTGATGGACAGCAGGCAGATGGGTCGATCATTTTTTTTTTTATTTGCTTGTTTGTTTAATAGAGGAAAACCTAACTTTTCTGCTACAGTATCGACAGTCATAAAGAGAAATTTCAGAATTCATGAGATAATGTATGAAACTATCTGAAGTAGAGATTTTTGTTTTGTTCATTGCTAGACTCATGGGTGGCACACGGGTAGTCAATAAATATTTGCTGAATTTAATTTAATCTTTCTCAATTAATGATTGTTTTTTCAGCCTGATTGTTTTAATGTTGTTACTATTCTCCCTGTTTATAAGTAAAGAAACCAAGACTCAAAAAAGTGAATTCCTCATCCAAGATCACACAATCGGTAACAGAACTAGGACTAAATTTAGGTTTTCCTCTCTTCATTTTAAGCTTTTCTGACAAAGCTGAACATTATACCCAATATGTAATTTTCAACCCTCAGCCCCCTCCCACTATCCCATCTTTTGAACTGTCCAGTGTCTATTTCCATCTTTATATCCATGTGAACTCACTGTTTAACTCCCACTTTTAAGTGAGAACGTGTGACAACTGATTTTCTTGTTTCTGAATTAGTTCTCTTAGGATAAGGCCTCCAATTCCACCCATGTTTCTGTAAAGGACATGATTTCATTCTTTTTAATAGCTATGTGGTATTCCATGGCGAATATATACCACATTCTCTTTATCCAATCAACTGCTGATGGACACTTAGGTTGGTTTCATGACTTTGCTATTGTGAACAGTGCTGCAATGAACATATGAGTGGAGGTGTATTTTTTATATAATGATTTTCCTTTGGATAGATACCCAGTAGTGGGATTACTGGGCTGAATGGCAGTTCAATTTTTATTCTTCAAGAAATCTCCATACTGTTTTCCATAGAGGTTGAACTAGTTTACATCCCCACCATAGTACATTAAGCATTCCCTTTTCTCTGCATCCATACCAACATCTGTTGTTTTTTGACTTCTTAAAGAGTTACTCTGACTGGTATGGTTTCTCAGTGTGGTTTTAATTTGCTTTCCTCTGATGATTAGTGATGTTGGGCATTTATCTGTTCATAACCTTTGCCCAATTCTTAATGGAGCTGCTTGTTATTTTATTGCTGAATTATTTGAGCTTCTTGTAGATTCTGTAGTTTAGTCCTTTGTCACAGATAACTTACAAATATTTTCTCCCATTCTGTAGGTTGTCTGATGATGTCTGATCATTTCTTTTGCTGTACAAAAGCTTTTTAGCTTAATTAAGTCCCATTTGTCTATTTTTTTTCTTGCTTTGGAGGTCTTCCTCGTAATTCTTTGCCTAAGCAGATGTCCAGAAGATCTGGACATCCTTCTAGGATCTGAAGATCCTTCTAGGATTTATATAGTTTTAGGTCTTATGTCTAGGCTTTAATCCATCTTGGGTTAATTTTGTATATGGTAAGAGGAAGAGGTCCAGTTTCATTCTTTTGCATGTGGCTAGCCAACTTTCCCAGTACCATTTATTGAGTAGGTTATGCTTTCCTGATGGCTTACTATTGTCAACTCTGTCAAAGAACAGTTGGTTGTAGGCATATGGCTTTATTTCTGGGTTCTCTATTATGTTCCATTGATCTATGTGTCTGGTTTTGTGCCAGTATCATGCTTTTTTAGTTACTCTACCAGGTAGTATAGTTTGAAGTCAGACAATGTGATACCTCCCAGATTTGTTCTGTTTACTGAGGATTGCTTTGGCTATTTGAGGGTTTTTTTGGTTTTGGTTTTGTTTTTTTGCTGTTCCATATGAATTTTAGGATTATTTATTCTAATTCTGTGTAAAATGATGCTGGTAATTTGATAGAAATTACACTGAATCTGTAGATTGCTTTGGGCAATATAGTCATTTTAACAATATTGATTTTTCTGATCCATGAGCATGGAGTGTTTTTCCATTTGTTTTTGTCATCTACAATTTCTTTCAACAGTGGTTTGCAGTTCCCCTTGTAGAGATCCTTCCTCTTCTTGGTTAAATGTATTCTTAGGTATTTATTATGTGTATACGGCTATTGTAAATGGAATTGAGTTATTGATTTGGTTCTCAGCTTGGATGTTGTTAATGTATAGAAATGCTACTGATGATTGATTTTGTATTCTGAGACTTTACTGAAGTCATTTATCAAGTCCAGGAAACTTTTGGAGGAATCATGTCCTCAGCAAACAAAGATAATCTTACTTCCTCTTTTCCAATTTGGATGCCTTTTATTTCTTTCCAATTTGGATGCCTGACTATTCTGGCTAGGACTTCCAGTACTAAGTTGAATAGGAGTGGTAAGAGCAGACATCCTTATCTTGTTCCAGTTCCTAGGAGAAATGTTTTCACTTTTTAAGGATAAAATTTCTGACGTAGACTACACCTGACAATTTAAAGACATTCTGAAGAACTGAGATGTATGCAAATATGCGTGTATTTATGTATTTAAGTATGCATGTGTGTATGTATAACTAGTTTTGTGACAGAACATAACAGCTAAATTGAAGAATACTAAATATAACAAGGCATATACAACCAAGATTTTATGAAAATTGCTTTCAAAAATTCATAACCAGGGCACCCAAAAAGAAAGGATGCTAAGGAAAAACGGCTGGCTTTAAAAAAAATTAATTTAGCTACCACAAATGATCCCCTTAAAGAAAAAAAGAAGTAACATCTAAAGAGAAGTACAAGTAAGCATAGAGAACTCTTTCGTGAGCTCTGGATTAAAAGAGTCATATATAAAAGGCATAAAAATCAAGGAGAATCAGAATCTGTATTTCCAGACTTAGGTAACACTTTTTTCATATACTCAACCTCTTTAACCCTCTTCTTCTCCTTTTCTCTTTCAGGTCCCACACAATTGACCCTGGAAAGTTTATTTCTCCCTTTCCATCTTCACCCCTTTTCTTTCCTTAATTTCTCTACCCATTATCTCAACTTAGATTCAAAATGATAATGTGCATACAGTAGTTCTGCATATCAATAACAGATTATTAGTTCTGTAAAAAAGGGGGGGGCATTAAAAAAAGACGCCACCAATTTCTAAAAATCTGAAAACGGTCAGCAATTCATTTCTTCATTTTATTTATGTATTTATGTATACATGTATGTATTTTTGAGTCAGAGTCTCACTCTGTCACACAGGCAGGAGTGCAGCAGCACACTTGGCCTAAACCTGCTAGGCTTAGGCAGTGATCCTTCTACCTCAGTCTTCCAAGTAGCTGGAACTTCGGGTATATGCCACTATGGCTGGATAATTTTTTTTTTAATTTACTGTAGAGACAAGGTCTTGCCAAGTTGCCCAGCCTGGTCTCGAACTCCTGGGTGCAGGAAATCCTCCCACCTCTGTCTCCCAAAGTATGGGTTTACAGGTATGAGCCACCACGCCTGGTCAGTACTCCCTTTTAGAATCAACAACTGCATGAATTCTACATCCTCCTCTAAACCTATTTAACTTTCTAGTTAAGTAAAACAACTCTTTCATAATCAATGCTTTCAATATACTCAAATATTAGAAATGAAACATCATTGTTTTGTCCCATTTTAGTCATACTATGAATTAGCTGGGCTCTTCTAGGCTATCTAAAGAATCTAACCACCATGTATTGTGTCATTTTCACAACAGAAATGAAATCTGTGTTCCAAAAACAGACTTAAAAATGAACTCTTGGAATTTAATCTATTCCCTGACTGGGAACTGCACGTAATTTCCACATGCTTCATGGAAAATAGTTAAGATTTTGAAAAGTAAAAGTCTGTGTTAACTGGAAATCATATTACTTTGGTCTAACTAGATATTCTGACAAATTTTCAAAGTTTCCTCTCAGAAGGGAAAAATATAAAAATGTTTAACATGAATCATAAAACTTTTCCTGAAATATTCAATGATAGTATGCTGCCTCTTTAGTAAGGCAGAAAAAAATACAGGAATGAATACAATTATAATTCACCACTACTACCAAGCAAAATTATTTCCCTTACCCATTTCAGGTATTTAAGTAAAGTAACAATGTCGATTTTTTTTAAACTTAGAACTTGCCTTTATTTTTCCCTAGAATCCTACATATAATTCATACTATCTAAATTATTTTTAAAATATAAATGTAGAGGGAGTAAAAGATTATGATATTATATACACACACATATATAAGATAACATTTACAAAGCAATACTCAGCACTTCTTAATTACTAACAAAGCTATTTGTAAGAAGATATAGTATAGTTTCTCTTTATTTTATGCTGTTTGCTTAGTTCTGAATTGAGGAATGTCGATGTTCAATGTCAGTATCCTTCAATTCCAGAAATTACAGAGCCCCACAACAATTTTGCCAAATAGACCATAAAAAGAAGACGGAGTCATATAACTTACTATCTGGATCTTCAAGGAGAATATCATTACAAGAGTCTGTATCTGAGTAGGTTCTTCGGCGTCGCTGGGAGAGCCGGTGAAGTGTAGACACTGGTTCTTTTACGGAGAGACTACCCCTGCAAGTTAAATAAAAATCATTAAACTGTAAGGCCTTAAACAAATGAAAACACTCTCAACTTGACTGGAATTTTAAGTGATTTCCCTTTAAGTGAAAAAGTCAATATTTTTATGCCCAACATCCTATGTTAGCAATATTCTACTCAGTCAGAAGTCAAGCTGCAAGCAAGTCAACCCACTTAGAATCTAGCAGGTAACCTGAAGAATATGAACTCTGAGCTAAACTAAGTAGAAAAGAGGTGCAATAAAGAAGTAGTGACATCTACTGAGGAGGATCCAGCAAGACAGTAAACATACTAGATGACTGGTTTACAAATGTTTGATAACTAAAAACTTCACAAGTTATAAACTTCACAAGTGCATGTATCTAAAGTCAATCCAGGCTGGGCATGGTGGCTCATGCCTGTAATTCCAGCACTTTGGGAAACCGAGGTAGGAGGATTGCTTGAGCCCAAGAGTTCCAGACTAGCCTGGGCAACATAGAAGGGCCTTGTCTCTATAAAAAGTACAAAAAGAAAATAAAATTAGCCAGGTGTGGTGTTGTATGCCTGTAGTCCCAGCTACTCAGGAGGCTGAGACAGAAGGACTGCTTGAGCCCAGGAGCTTGAGGCTGCAGTGAACCAGGATCACACCATTGTACTCCAGTCTGGGTGACAGAGACCCTATCTCAAAAAAGAAACAGAAAAAAAGAATTAAAGCCAAATCTCTATCTGATCAGTCAGCAGCAGCAGCAGCAGACAGAAGGGGATAGCCAAAAAGTTTAGGGAACATACTAGAGATAGACTCACTGACAGCAGAAAGAAAAGGCAAAAAGGAGGCTAGAAAAACGATTTTAAAAAATCAGTCTAAAAAATAAAACACAGAAGCAAATCATTACCACCACCTTACAACATCAAAGCTACTATTTTTGTTTTCTTTTTTTAAGGAGACAGGATCTTGCTATGTTATCCAAGCTGGTCTTGAGCTCCTGGGCTCAAGTGATCCCCTGTCTCATTCAGATACTATTTTATGACAGCCCAATATTACTATACTTAATGACAACCTTGATTTATCAGTAAAAAGTTAAAAATTTTTAATTCTTATTATGCCTTATTTCATAAGGTGGGATAGAAAAATTTTTAGCACAAAAATAAAAGTCTGTCAAAGGTTAAGCTTCCATTTTTCTAGAAAATTCAATTGGTGGAACTCTTCATTACCTGCTAGGGTTGGATATATATGTCACTAGACTCTTCTGAGTACTTGATGGTGCAATCAAAGATTATATAATCATTAGGGGGGAAAAGCAGAACATGAGAAAATAATAATAAGGGCCCAGCACTTAACAGTTTTAACACAGAGAAATAAATGCTAATGTCACTATAATTAAATCATTTCCCAAAGAACCAAATAAGATAACCATAGCAACTTAAAAGAATATTATCTAACAAAAGAGAGTGGTTTAACAATCTGGGCTATTGGCAAGATCTATCTAGAAGGTAAAATTTTTTAATGTTTTGATATAAATATTATACTTTAAAATATCAAGGTTTTTTTTTTCTTTTCAGCAAGATTTTTCTCTCTCAATAAAACCAAAGCTCAGCATGAATATATGATGCCATAAAAAGCTAACGTAAAATGAGCCTCTGCCTTGATATAGAATATAAATTTCTATGTCAACATCACTTGATATATAATCATTGGTCTCTAAATGATGGGAATACATCCTGAGAAATACATAGTTAAGCAATTTCATTGTGTGAACAAAATAGAGTGCACTTACACAAACCTAGATGATACAGTCTACTATACACCTGTACAGAATGTGACTATTCTGAATGCTGTGGGCAACTGTAACATAATAGTATTTGTGTATCTAAACACAGAAAAGGTATAATAAAAATACAGTATAATTTTACAAGACCACCTTTGTACATGCAGTCCCTCAGTGATCAAAAATGCCATTATGCAGCATGATAATATTTCTTTTTTTTTTGAGTTGGAGTCTCACTCTGTCGCCCAGACTGGAGTATAGTGGCCGCTCCCGGCCACCGCAGCCTCGACTGCTGGACTCCGGTGATCCTTCCTCCTCAGCTGCCCGAGTAGCCAGAATTACAGGTGCGCACTACCACACCCAGCTGATTTTTGATTTATGGTAGAGATGAGGTCTCACCAAGTTGCCCAGGCAGGTCTCGAACCCGCGGGCTCAGGCAATCCACTCACCTCAGTCTCCCAAGGCGCGGGATTACAGGCTGAGCCACCGAGCCCAGCGATAGTATTTCAAACATCTAAAAAAGGTACAGTAGCTGGCCAGATGCTTACCTTGCTGGTTAATTTAATTAATTTCTTCTTTACTGCCTACTTTCTAGGGCCTGGCCATTATACTAAGCACTAAGAGATATATACCAAAAGATATAATGCTGAGCAAGTCAGAACCTGACCTTACCCATAGAGTTTACATTCCACACCACCTGTTAAAGAATTCCCCTAAGTAGGTATAATTTTGAGAGAACTTAGTCAAAAGGTCATTTTACCTCTCTGAACTGCAGGAACCAGGGTGGCTAACAGAACGCTTCATCTAGAAATTTAAAAAAACAATTAGCGTAATCCATATGTCAGGTAGAATCATGCAGCTCTTATTTATGATTATCATAATAAACATAAATTTGCTGAGAGAAAAAGGTGCCTGGCAAAAAAAATTTACCTTTTACAGATTCAAGTAACATAATCAGCACAATGTCAAACTTTTTCCCTAATAACCTTTAATTGGAATCTTTCCCAACACATAGCAAAAAACATGCTGGATTCTTTTTTCAATAGTAAAAACCACATTTTATACACGTATATAAATAATACACATGTGTGTATATATAAAAATATAAAAAACTGTACATATATAACTAACCCAAAAGCTACACTTTTGTAATAAACAGGAGTATCTAGCAAGCCAGAAAATATTCTAATAAAGGTATTTTTGAAAGGGCAGGAGTAGAGTCTGGTAGAAAAGCTCTCTTTATCATTCATAATTCAGGTAGCTGATACACAGATGTTATAAAGTGTGGTTCTCATAGGAGACAGTATTAATAATTCAAGTGTTTAAAGTACTCAGAAGAACCCCAAGTCTCAAAAAGATTTCTAAAACATGTGTTTTTTAAAAAAAAGAAATATCTGATTAAGCAGAGCATTTAATAAATGACAAAAACTAGACATAATTTAAAAGATCCAAAAAATAAATAAAAGGAGGCAGCCAAACTAAAACAGATGATTTCAAAGCTTAACAAGGCAGCAGAAAAGCAACGTTTATACTAAAGGTTTAGAATGGTTGCTTTTATACACATGGGCCCAAGAATCTTAAAAGCCCTGGTCTAACATTTATATCATGTATGCTTTCTCTATTTGGAACATGAACCACTAATTGCTCCAAGAAATGCCCAACAGATACAACACACCTAATTTACACTCCAGGAACATCTGATATGATGCAAGTAGGCATTAATGTCTCCTTTAATAGAAATTACTTCCTATAGTCTTATTCACCTAGCAACATTCCCACTATAATAATCACTTATATGACAGTTGTCTGAGCTTTCATGACGACTTAAGATAAAGTTAAATCCAAGTTTTTTCTAAGATGAATTCAATGAGATCAACTACATAAAGAAGGTAAAAAGATCAGATTAAATAGTTTTGGAAAACTCAAATATTTCAGCTTTATTTTCACATAAATAAATATGTTTTTCATATAAATAAATCACTCATGTTATTCTAAAAAAAAAAAATTGCCTATAAAGACTGACCTTATTATTATTTCCCATGCTATGGGTCTCCAGAACTAATTACTATAAGTCACAATTCTTGCTTTTTGTATCAAGTAAAATGGTATAGCTAGGAAAACTAGGCAACCTTAACCTAATATTTTGTAGTTTAACTTACTAAATTTTCTGTAATTTTTCTACTGACAAAAGGTTTGGTCTTTAAAAAGACAATTATTGTAGTTTCTTATATATAAAATACACACATGACTTCTCTGGACTACTGAGTATTTGTAACAAAAGGTGTTTCCTGACAAGTTCAATGCAAAAACAAGGCAGCTCTGATGTATTTTTTTATTGTATTTGACTCAAAAAGAACATCTTAAAAAAGAAATTATAACCCTTGTATATCAACCTAAGGAACATAGTAGTTTTTCTATTCACCTATGCTATCTTACAGTTTGCAGCATATCTACAATTGATCAAAAGCAATGTTATCAAAGTGTGTTCTACTGAACACCATAAATCTGAGATAGTATTCAAAAATAAATAAAATGGGTTCAATTATTATTCAGAAACACTGTATACTACCTCTCCCTCTGATTCACAGTATACTTCAATATAAAAGAGGCTCTGACAAGCCCTATCAGACTATCCTTATCAGATTAGAATGGAGAAACCCAATTCATTTAAGTTATCCTAGAACTTCCCAAACTAATCAGACCATAAAACTCATTTTCATGGTACACTTGTCTCAGAGGACACTATTAGTCCATATTACACTGATTACAAGACAATGCTCTAAATAAATGTAGGCAATAATCTTTACTAAATCTCACGCAACTAAATTTGTTGGGTGGGATGGGTAAGAGAACCTAGGAATAATTCAGACCTTATTCTTATGACAAATAAGTCTTCAGGTAATTGCTAAACCAGTAGCCATGTGGCATTCTTTCTCCTACAAATGGGCTTCTAAAAACACTTTGACAAAAAAAAAAAAAAAATTAAAGTCTCATCAAAGCTTACATCACTTATAGAGTTTCCCAAAGCATGCTGAATCAAGTTCATTAGCCTAGAAAGGAAAATGGATCTGCCACCCCTGGCAAAAAAAGAGTACCTCTTGTTCAGAGGAATCAAGAGGGAAGAAAATAACATTAAGTGGTCAATCCTTTAAAGATTTGCTTCATTGTGCCCCATAGTAAGTTAAACATCACCTCATTGTAAGGTTTTAACAGGTAGAATAGTGCTTCCCGGCCTCTTCTGTTTCATATCACACACAGTGCACTATAATATTTTCCTGGATGAAGCAGCTCACAGGCAGACCATGCACAGCCCTTCCGAGGGGGAGGGAGTCAGGACACTGGCACACATGTTGAGTTCCTCAGCTGAGAAGCTCCAATTCCAAATAGCACAAACAAAATTCAACCTATTGACTGTTTCCCCACCCCACTGCCTACTTCCATCCTTAAAAGTGAAAACAAAACAAAAACTGACACACAATATTACTACAAAACAAAACAAAAAAACAAGAAGTTCCAACCATTTGAACAGGAGAAGGTGACACAGGAGAAACTAAGGGATCTGGATGGGGCAGTTGAAACATCTCAGGTTTAAACTTGGCGTTGGCTATCTTCACACATTCCTCAAGTGTTGTGATGAATGTATTACATGTGGCACTAAGCAGAGACGAGGCTTCATTCATGTTCTGAAAAATTATATACAAAGACATGAACAGACTTACGTACAACTACACGGAATCACACACAACCTTATAATTAAGTAATAAGATATTATCTCCAGTGGACACATTACTACATTATGTTCAAATTTATTTAAAATATACAACTTCAGAAAATCAAAGCAATGCATGAAGAAGAAATGTCTCTATCTCTTACATAAATAATGTATGAAACTAGATTCCAAGAAAAGATAGTTTTGCATTTAAACTAAATATCATATTAAAAAACTGCACACAAAAATTTATCTTAAAGAAACCTAACCTAAATGGTAATTTTCTAACTATCTCTCCGAATTCCAAGGTGGTCACAGCAGTGGAACACCCTGACGGCTACTGGCAGCACAATTCATGACTACCACACGTCTATTCTCCCACTTCTTCCTTGGTAGAATAAAAACCCTAATTTTGTTCAGGACAACAAAGTGGACTTAGCCTAGAGAATGAGCATAGACTGATCTAAGTCAGTCATGGCTATTCCATGACCAAATACTCATTTCTTCCTCGTCCTTTGAGTTAGACAATAAAGATGATGAGAAGTCTGCTGGGGAGTTTCTGGAATTTTTGTTCCCTGATTAAAAACCAAGAATAGGGAAAGGTCACGCACAAAGGCCAGGCAGAAGCTGCAGCAGGAGCCACCAGGATCCTCCTGAGGTACCTGCAAGAGCAGAACCAGCCCTACAGCACCCAGGACTTGTTCAGGACCCTGTAGTAGGAACACGGCCTGGGCAAGGCGGTGGTGGTGAAGGCACTGGAGCAGCTGACCCAGCAAAGAAAGATCAAAGAGAAAGTGTATGGCAAGCAGAAGATCTATTTTGCAGAAGTGGACCAGTTTAACACAGTGAGTGATGCTGACCTTCAAGCCTGGATGCCAAAATCGTGGCCCTTACTGCTAATGTGCAGACCTTGCAGCAGAGCTGCTGCTACATGGAGTTTCAGCTGAAGGAGTTATCTAGTGCCCTGACCTCACCAGAGATGCAGAAGGAGATTTAGGAGTTAAATGAGGAGTGTGCTGGCTCAGAGAGAGGCTGAAGACCATCAAAGCAGCCACCAACCATGTGACTCCAGAAAGAGTAGATGTACAGAGGGAGGCAGGAGTACTGTAAGGAGTGGAGGAAGTAGAAGAGGATGGCAATAAAGCTGTTTTTGACACTATTCTTGAAGAATACCCCAAGAGCAAGATGCAGTCCCTTGAGGAAATGGGGATAAAGACAGATGAAGATCACAACATCAGGCTCCCAGGCCCCGGGGTATTGGGAACATCAGATGCCCTGGGCTGACTGTCTTGTCTAGGCTGGCTTTTGCTGTTTCTCTTGCTTCCCACCTTTGAGCCAGGAGAAGCATAGACCAGAGAACCAGGTAGGGGGAGTGGCTGCTGGCAGGGAGCAGATGGTCATGCCCAACTCATCTCCACATTTCAATAGCTTGAGCTTAACACTTAGACTTGGAGCAGTGCTAAAGGAAAGCATTTGGCAATATTTATTTTAATATAATTTGATATAAAAATATTTAATTTCCTCTGGATCAAACTTCCTAGATATCAAACCTGAGGAAGGCAGAAGGGAACTTGGAGGACAAGGGTAAAAAGAAGCTCCTAAACACCAGCATTCAAGGAGCCCAAGACTTCACCCAGGATTCCCCTGGGCTTAGGCACTCCAGAAGACCTTCTGAGGATCTTCTTTACCTCTCCACCCCCACCCCTAAGTCCTGGAAGAAATGCAGGCAACACAGAGACACGGTAGAGGTCCTCAGCCTTGACAGAAAGGCTGAGGGTGGTTTTGAGGTTAGTTAATATTCCAAAATTGTAACTGTAGCAAAATTGTACTGTTGGTGTTTAGAAAAATAAAAAAAACTTCAAAACAAAGTTGAGGAGGTCTCTCTCCACTCCGGTCACCCTACACTACCTCCTGCCTCTTTACGATCTTGGCAGTCACCTTGAAGCCTGAGCATTTGGAGAAAAATCCAACACACCAAGAATGGCAGAGTAGAACAATGGAACAAGGCTGGGTCCCTGATCCTGTCAGTGAGCTGCTATAGCAGAGGTGAGAGCAACTCCCTCCAGAGGGTTTGTGGTGAAACAGTTAAATGCCCTTAGGGCTAAAGAACCCCAAACTGAAACTAAATTCATGTAAGATTCCTCCCCAACATGAGAAGGCCACAGGAGAGGCAGGAAGAGTTCTTTTCCCATTTCTACCAAGTTAGGAAAAGGGGACAGGGAACCATGCCAATCTTTTACCCAGAGAGTAGCAGGGCTCACTAGTCCTACTTTATCAGAAAGAGTGAGCCTAATTTCATAGCCAGATCCTACTAATCTGAATTTTGATTCCTACATGTTCTGAGAAGGATTTTTTTTTTTTAGTTATTTCATAAAGATAAGTTATCAACTCTCAGTAGTTGAATCTGGGACCTTATTATCAAGAGAAAGAGTTGTCCAGTGAATTCATGCAGTCAGCCTGAAGGACAAAGCTTGGAATGTTTCTTCCCCACTCCAACCTTCAGATCATCAGAATGGCTGCAAAGGCAGACCCTGATCGCTGAAGAAATGTGCTGCTTCATGCTATACTCTGGCTACACAGACATCATCTAGAAGATACTACAGATTTCCAAACTGCCTACAGCAGACAGAGCCCAGAATAGCTGAAAATAACTCAATAATCTTGTGTGATGACTGAGGATACCCAGTGTACTCCAAAAAACCATACATGAAGACAGCTTCTGTTTTATACCTCTACGCTGGGAGACGAATGATTCTCATCATGGTGAACAAATTCCTGGATGGTATGAACTTGCTGCATTAGGAGGTCACAGTAGAGGCGAAGTTCAGACATTTTGGTTTTCAGAGATTCACTGGTTTCACTTATTTCTGAAAATAACATATAAACATCCAGTTAGATAATTATCAGATTCTTTGGGCAATACAACAAAATGTAATCATTTAAAAAGTAAAGCAATAAATATACCTATAGCTTAAGAGATGTGAGACCTTAAAAACAGGATCATAAGGGCCCTAAGGAAACAACTTCTCTTTGGTAACTGGGAAAAATTTGACAGTTTTACGTCTGCCATGAAGTTTAGGTAGATTAATTTCCAGAAACAGGATAATAACCACTGTATGTTTTATATAAGATATTTCCATTCCATTACTCATCTTCCATTTGAAAAGTCTACATTTCTTTTCTAAATTGGCTCTTTTGTCCTTTATAAAATTTTTTCCAGCTCTGGTGTTGGTGTTTCTCTTATTTTAATTATCATATAAATTGATAATATGTAAAAACTCATACATTAAAGACAGCAATCTTTCCTCTGTCCTATATATTGGAATATATTGCAAATACTTTTCCACATCTCTTGGCTCCTTTTCAGTTTTCTTTAATGTATATTTTGGGATATAGAAGTTTTTAATTTTTAAGTAATTAAAACTATTATATATTCATTTATTTTCTTCTGTCCCTTTCACAGTTTCATTTTTACATTATACTGTCTTTGGAATTTTTTATTAAGATCATACTTTCTTCTCTTAATTTCACCAGAAAAATTAAATATCCAGCCATAATCTCAGCCACTCACAAGCCAGTATCTTTTAATCTAAAGTGTAAGCTGCAGAGGAAGAAAAGAAATACACCTAGTAGATTTCTGATGTTTTTCCACACTCCTTGAGCCCAGCCAGTGATCCTGCTCTTTGCTCTTAGTCATAAAGCCACTTTTACTAGAGGACAAAGCAGCTCTACATCCAACCTAAATCAATTCCTACCCAAATTTAAATCCACTCCTTCTTTTTTAAAAAAATTATGCGAAAATACACATAACATAAAATGTACCATTTTAACCACTTTTACGCATACACTTTAAAATGTGGTATCAAGGCCGGGCTCGGTGGCTCAGCCCATAATCCCAGAGCTTTGGGAGGCCGAGGTGAGTGAATTGCCTGAGCCCACGGGTTCAAGACCCGCCTGGGCAACTTGGCGAGACCTCATTTCTACAATAAATCAAAAAATTAGCCGGGCGTGGTAGCGCACACATGTAGTTCCAGCTACTTGAAAGGCTGAGGCGAGAGGATCGCCGGAGCCCAGCAGGTCGAGGCTGCAGTGGCCGGAAGTGGCCACTGCACTCCAGTCTGGGTGACAGAATGAGACTCCAGCTCAAAATAAAATAAAATGTGGCATCAAGTACATTTACACTGCTCTACAACCATCGCCACCATCCATCTCTAGAACTTTTTCAGTCTTCCCCAACTGCAACTCATTAAACACTAATTCCATTCCCTCCTCTCCCTAGGCTTCAGCAGCCACCATTCTCCATTCTGCTTGATAAGTTTGACTATTCTGGGTATTTCAAATCAGTAGAATAATAGAATATTTGTCCTTCTGTGATTGGCTTATTTCACTTATCATAAAATCTATGAGGCTCATCCACGTTGTGCCTTGTATTAGAATTTCCTTCCTTTGGAAGGGTGAATAATATTCCATTTTATTTATATACCACATTTTGTTTATCCACTCACCTATCAATGGACATTTGGGTGCTTTTCGCCTTTTTGCTATTATGAATATCCATTCTTTCGTATCTCACCCTTAGCTATACTCTAACCATGATATTCTTTTATATAGTCAAAAATTGTTCTAAATTTATTCCTCAGTCTCCATTTCTCAATACCTATAATTTACCTGCTTCCACTAATTTATTTATCTTATTTTTAAATTATAAAAGTAATACATATGCAATGAAAAATTTGGGAAGCTAGAAAAAACTGTGCGATAGTTTGAATATGGTTTGTCCCCACCAAAACTCACCCTGAAGCTCGGTCCCCAATGTCACTGTGTTGCAGGGTGGTACCTCTAAGAGGTGATTAGATCATTAAGAGGAATTCAGGCCTTTCTGTAATGAGTGAGTCCTCTTTTAGCAAGGATTAGTTAGCAAAAGAGTGGGGTTTTATAAATGGAGGCTGCCTCTCACATTTGGTCTCTTTTTGCACATATCTACTTCCCCTTCTGACTCTTCACCAAGCTACGGTGCACCACGAGGCCCTCACCAGAAGCCAACTAGATGCGGCAGCCTAATCTTGCACTTCCTGACTCTAGAACCAGGAGCCAAACAGCCCTCTTTTCTTTATAAATTCACACTCAAGTATTTTGTTATAGCAACAGGAAATGAACTAAAACAAACTGTAATCTCACTATTAAGATATAAATACTGTCATTACTTCCGTATTATATCTATATATAGTTGAACTAATACCAAAATCATTTGCTTTGCTTTTGATTTTTTAAAATCTTTCTACAAACTTGATAAAGTCAAAAGGTACCAAAGAGTACACAATGAAAAGTGAGTCTCCTTCCCAAAAATTCTACTTCCAAAGGTAACAATCAGTCTTACATACCTTTCCTAGCCAGCAAATGAATATTAACACTATACATAATTTTGAATCCTGCTGTTTCACTGATCATTTAACTTTAGGCATTTTCTCACATTAAAATTCCCTTTAAACATTTTACTGGCTACATAATATATCAGCCAATGAAAGCACTAGTTTATTGAACCATCTCCCTAGATTTATACCTTTCACAAATTTATTACGAGTATGAAGCTCTATATATGCAAATCTTCTACACTTCTAATTATTTCCTTGGCATAGACTACTAAAAGTGGACAGGATAATTTATATTTATGTTTCAGAAAGTACTCTCACCACAAGGGAAAAAGTTATAGCTACCTTTTTCTTTTTTAGTCCTAGTATCAGTCAAACAGGCTTTCGAGCTCCCCAGGGCAACCAGCCACCTCTGCCTTTCAGCCGCATTCACCGCCTTCATGTAGAAATGCTGTTCTCCTGGAATGATTAATTCCATTCTTGTGTTGTCTGCTGAATGAACTATGATGATAAACAAAGAAGAAATCAGTTCTAGACTTAACTAATTTAAGGAGAAGCAAACCATCACTGTTACACAGTATTAGATGCTTCATAAACCTATAAAAACAAACCGTGATCCATGATGCAGGCAGTGCCACTCCCTAAGGGGCCATCCAGTGGCAACCTTCAAACTAACATTCTCACAAAGACCCAGAATGACAATGGTGCATAAGTGATGAAGGCATATGAAGAGAAAACAAGGACAAATTAACTATTGAGAAGTGAGACTCTCACTTTTGTCCACCTAGTCAACCTTAAATATAAGTGCAATGAATGTCAAATTATTGCACATTTTTTACTGATTTCCTTGAAAGCAAAGTTTATTTCTTCATATCTCCAAGACCAGGACAGAGCCTGGCTGACATATAGAAGGAATGTAATAAATGGTCAGTATGGTCATCTTCCATTAGAACAGTAACTCTATGACATGCCCTTAATTATGGGACATAGCAAACACCCAGAAGGTATGTGTATTTCTTCTCCCTCCACCTCCTCTCTGACACACACACACCCCTTGATACTCTGACAAAAGAGAGCTAATCAAGAATTAAGCTGAGCAAATATCAAATCTTTATTGTAAAACAAAATTTATGTTAAGCTGTCATTAATCAACAGATATTTACTTAGCTCAGAGTAGTGCTGGTATTGGGGAAGATACAGAGAAAGAAAAAAGAAGTCTTTACTTTTATAGAGTTGACAATTTATCAAGAAACTAACATACCAAAAAGAATTACTTAAGTATTGTACTCTTTGGTGCAGAAATTTCATGTGCAATTATGAGAGAAAGAAAAGACAGGAAATTAAAAGACTTCAAGAAGAAGTATTTGATGACAGCAGAATTTGGTAAACTGCATAAGAAAAAGCCTAGATGAGGAAATAAACACAGAAAGTACTGAGGATATTAGGAAACAAGCATAAATGGAGTTTCATATTATATTGCAAAGTAATGTTCATTTCATTTAGCCTATACTTCCAGTGCCTATGGTTCTAGCTACTTGGGAGACTTGAGATAGGAGGACAGCTTGACCCAGGAGTTTGAGGCTTCAGTGAGATATGACCATGCTACTACACTCCAGTCTGAGTTAAAGAGCAAGATCCCATCTCTAAAAACAAAAAGAAAAAATACTCATATGCATGAATACAGACCTAATACAGACAAACTAGGTGGAGCCAAATTATCAAAGGTCCAAGAAAGTCTGGCCAAAGCCTTAACTTAGATAATTAATTACTGAAAATACTGACCACATGTTCCGTGTATTATGGCAAATAAGTCCCACAAAAGCTTTGGTATCTTATTATTCTACTTATATGAGCCATTCTTAGATATAGAAACTGAAAGATACAACCATCCAACAACAATGAGTGCAAAAGATTTCTAGGCTAAAATAAAACTACTGAAATCCCAAAGCTCTAAGAGTAACTATTTCTTGGTAATTGCGAATACTAGTAGTGAAAGTACCAATTTCTACCTTAAAAAAAAGTCATACTATAATTTCTAATGATGTTGCTACAAGATGAAACTAAAAGATTATTCATTTTTAAATGTACTAGAATTTGTATATTTATTCAAGGGGAGTCCCTGTCAAAGTTCCCTTTTCACAAAGGCAACAAACTTCAAAATGATGCTCCCAAATATCAAGTCATTAGGAAAAAAATGATAGACAAGATCTTTAAATACAAAACTACTGTATAAAACATTTCTGGGAGAATTAAATACCTAATTAAATATAGGGACATACTACCATGTTATTGGATCAGAAGACTCAATACTGTCAACAACAGAATGCTCCTCAAATTAATCTACAGTTTCAATACAATTCCAGTCACAATTCCAGCAGAGAGTTGTAGAAATCTACAAGCAGATTCTAAAATGCATAAGAAAATACAAAGGGCCAAAAAATCCAAGACAATACTGGAAAAGAACAAAGTTAAAAGACAGAGTATCAGATACAAAAAGTATAAAGATAAAGAAATTAAGACTGTATGATATTGGCACAAAGATTAAACTAAAAAATGGGACCATGGAACAGAATAGACAGTCAAGAAAAGGACCCACAAATACATGATACTTGCACTGTGACAAAGATATACCTATAGTGCAGTAAGGGAAAGGCTGCTATCAAGTCAATTACAGACCTAATATAGACCTAAATATAAAAGGTAATACAATAAACATTCAAGAAGGCAACACAGAAGATGTCTTCAGTGAGACATAAAAAGTTCTGATAAAAAAAATTAACAAACTGGACTTCACTGAAATTGTTCATTAAAAGATATCACTAACAAAATGAAAATACAAACTGCAAAGGAGAATAAGATATTTGCAATACAAAGTCATCCAGACTATAGAAAAATCTCCTACAAATCAGCATAAGCCTAAAAAAGTACTCAAAATCATTAGTTAGTCAAGAAATGCAAGTCAAAACCACCATGATATACCACTACACACACAAGAAATATTCAGAAATTTTTAAATTGATAATACCAAGTTTGGCAAAGAAGCAGAGTAATTGGAACTCTAATGCTCTACAGAACAAGTTGATATAATCACCTTAGAAAACAATTTGGCATTTTTTTGTGAAAAAGTTTCTCTCCATGACCAAATTTCAGACAGGCTCCTTTGAGACCTCTGCTCGACTAGGTTTCTGTCTCCATTCCTGTAATGTCTAGTTTTAGCAATAATCCAGTTAAGTCAATTTAACCAGAATCCCCCATCTTCAACATTTTATCATCCTTCATAACTGACCAAATTCTTCATTCCTTACCACCATCCCCCAGGTATGTCTGATCCCCCTGGCCTTGGCCTTCCTTCAGCAAGAATCCGGTTAGGTCAGTTTAGCCAGAATCCCTATTTACTCCTGGTGCTTCCTCTTTGTAACTTTCCATTCACCGAACCTCCCCACCCAACTCCTTGGCTATAAATTCCCACTTTTCCCTATTGTATTTAGAGTTGAGCCCAATCTCGTCTCTACTGTAAAACTCCACTGCAGTAGTCCCTGAATCTATGGCGACAGTCCTAAAGAAAGTCTACCATACTGTTTTGATCAAAATAAATGTATAGGAATACTCATGGCAGCTTTATTCACCGTAGTCTCAAAATGGAAAAAAAAAAATCCTTCAGGCCGGACTCGGTGGCTCAGTCTGTAATCCCACGCCTTTGGGAGGCTGAGGTGAGTGGATTGCCTGAACCCGCGGGTTCGAGACCCGCCTGGGCAGTGAGACCTCATCTCTACAATAAATAAAAAAAAAAAAATCAACCGGGCGTGGTAGCACGCACCTGTAATTCCGGCTACTCGGAAGGCTGAGGCGGAAGGATCGCCAGAGCCCAGCAAGTCGAGGCTGCGGTGGCCGGGAGCGGCCACTGCACTCCAGTCTGGGTGACCGAGTGAGACTCCAACTCAAAAAGAAAAAAAAAAAAATCCTTCAGTACTAGAATGCATACCCAAATTGTGAGATAGTCACACAAAGGAAAACATGGATAAATTTCACAATATGATATCGAACAAAAAAAAACCAGACACAAAAGAAAATACTGAATTATTCCATGTATAAAATGTTCAAAAACAGATAACACTTCCTTATGGATATAGGGGTCAGATTAATAGGATACATTTTAGGGGGATCAGTGGTTGAGGGGACTCAGTTGAGGTGGGTAGTTTATACTGGTGTTTTCATTTTGTAAACATTCTTCAAGCTAAATGTTACTTAAGATTCATGCCCTTTTCTGTATGCTATTCTTTAATAAAATAATTACTTTAAACAAACAACAGCCAAAATAAGATGCTGTCATAGCTTAAAATTATTTAGGAATCACCTCAGAATTCTGCTGCTCTTTATATCCTTAATATCCTTGGGGTTGGCAAATCTTTGAACTTTGAATACAGTTTTGATTTCCAAATCTCTTTTAGAATCAAATCTGAGAAAAAGATGAGATTTTTAAAAAACCCTATTTAAAAAAAATTAATGCTCTGTGCTTTTCTTGTGTGATTTATAAACTGGTTCATAAGGTAATTTCAAAGAGAGCTCTGAAATGTTATAGGTGATGATAGTGTAATTGAAAATGAGCACATAGACTTCAAAAATGAGTACATTTACCAGTAAACAGTTTAAAGCCAACAATTATCAGTACATATTTCATTATGCTTACTAAAAATAAACAACAAGCCGCGCACAGTGGCTCAGGATTGTAATCCCAGCACTCTGGAAGGCAGAAATGAGAGGACTGCCTGAGCCCAGGGTTTCAAGACCAGTCTAGGCGACTTGGCAAAACCTCATCTCTACAATTAAACAAAAAATTAGACAGACATGGTAGTCCACACCTGTAATTCCAGCAACTTGGAAGACAAAGGTGGAAGGATCACCTGAGCCCAGGAGGTCAAGGCCACAGTAACCATGAGGGTGCCACTGCACTCCAGTCTGAGCAACAGAATGAGATTCCTACTTAAAAATAATAAAAATAAAATAAAATAAAAATAAACAATGAAATTATGCCCTATATATTTTAGGAAACATGCCAGTAACAATACACCAGGCTAAAATATTTTTGTATAGCCATGATGCCCTTCCATTAAAACAGTGGGAGTTCTCAACTAAGAGGGCATGATATAATCACCTGACAGGTATGTGTAGTTTGGAGAAAGCTCCCTGGATGACACTGATCTACCCAAAGCAGAGAATCCCTGCTATAGAAAGAGCGCTAGTGGTGGCAAATCTGAGGTGAAGGTGAAGAACAAAACATGTAGCTAAAGAATATGTATCCAAAGCAGAGATTCTCTATTGTCTCCATGGCTAAATCTTACTAAGAATTACCACAAAATCACACAAAAAGAGCAATGTAGCCTTCGAAATAGAAAATGCAGCACAACACATTAGCTGCTGCTTTGGTTTAATCTAAATAAGAAAATGAATAAAGCAGTTAGATGACTCTAGAGTATTTGGTAGCTAAGACCAAGGCTCATCAAGTCAAAAAAGGCCGGGCTCGGTGGCTCAGCCTGTAATCCCAGCACTTTGGGAGGCCAAAGTGAGTGGATTGCCCGAACCCACGGGTTCGAGACCCGCCTGGGCAACTTGGCGAGACCTCATCTCTACAATAAGTAAAAAATCAGCCAGGTGTGGTAGCGCGCACCTGTAGTTCTGGCTACTTGGAAGGCTGAGGCGGAAGGAACGCTGGAGCCCAGCAGGTCGAGGCTGCAGTGGCCGGGAGCAGCCATTGCACTCCAGTCTGGGTGACAGAGTGAGATTCCAACTCAAACAAAAAAAAAATCAAGTCAAAAGAATTACCCTTCATGAAAACAAGTATTCAAGCTACAAAGGAGAAATGAAGAACTGCCTGGAGGGAATTTAACAGTCATTCCCCTGGTGCTCTAGTTTTTCCTTCAATTCTCTTTGAAGAATAATTCAATAGTTTTCTCTGTTATTTTATCTGATTTCACTCTACCTACCTCCACCCCACACATGCCAACCACACACACAAATGAATTTATTGGTCCATGAAACCTTCCTTCATGAAAATTATTGCATGACCTATTGCTTTATTTCTCCCTTTTTTGGAATAAAAGGAAACCATCTCTAATACCCATAAGAGCTTATCTCCAAATTTAGCAAAAAAAATCAGAATTTATGACTCTGATTTCATACTTTATCAAAACCCAACAGAGCTACCCTGTCATTGTTAGGGCTCAACTTCCAACCCCTACAATGCCCTTCTACAAGAATGAAATAGAATGCTTGTAGACACAACATGGACACTAGAGTGGTATCCACAATAAATTCTTTGTTGAGTCCAAACTGGAAGACTAGCACAAGTATTCTGAATATCAATTCAAAGTAAGTTTATAGAGAGGGATTATCAAAAACTGTTTAGCAGTTAACTGTGTAAACTGTGGCTAAATGCTTCTATTGATTGCTAAGGATATAAATGATAGTAGAAGATCCCTATATGGTTAGAAATGCTTTCTCCTCTTGTTTGGAGTAGGCTGAAGAATCCTTTACTACCTAACCCTTAATTCCTCTAATTCCATATGTTCACTTACCTTTAATTTCACAAACTGCCATCTTTATACTTCCTTTGCTCCCTTTGCAAACATCATCCTGTGAATCATAGTAGGATAGGATTCCATTATCTAAAACAAACCAACGAGGCTGCCAACCTACAAAGATCATAAATAACAGAAAGTTTATATGGAAAGAAATAATTTTCATCACAAAGAAAACTATGATATCAAAATCTGCCATCCACATTATTTCTTGGCTCTCAAATAACATTCTGACAATGAAATGTTTAATGGTCAAGCCTTATCCAAAGTGTTCCGGCATCAACTTCCACTTTACTGAGAAAGATTTCTAAGGAAATATCTAGATCAGCATACATATGGGAAATAATACTTTTATTCTGGCTCACAACCTTCTCATTAGAAACCCAGAAGGCCCTACACAGGGTACAACATAACTTCCCCCTTTTCCTAAAAAGAAACAGAGTTGGGTTTATAATGAATGGAAAAAGCAACAGAAAACAGTGATTCTAGCCCCACTTCTAATGTCATTCTTCAACTGGATAACCATAACCTGGTGCAAATCTTCCCATTTCAATAAATCTAAGATTCCCAGTCTCCAACATGAGTAGGTTGAAAAAGATGATCTGTCAGGTGCCAGTCAGCCCTCTAATTCTGCAATGTGACTTTCCCTGCTCTTATAAAATACATGTTGTCAGAGCAAACTCTTAAACACAAGAGTGTTTTACACTAAATGAATTCCAGTCTTTTACACAGAAGCTACATACCCTGTGGTGAGAATACAGATTCCTCACACGACTCACTTTGCCTTATCTGCAGCTACACAGCAGGGCAAAAATGCTAGAAACTACAATCATTCAGTTGATATTTATTCAGTGACTAGAACACCTATCTATCATAGACTTGGCTCCAAGACAAAGCTGGTGACAAAGGATGATGACTTTCCTTGGTGCCCAACTCCCACTCCTCCTTCAAGGCCAACTTTGTGTTCTCTGGAATCTTCTCAAGCATGCTACTAATGTACAACAGTTTACTGACTAGTAACATGGTGACCATGCTGGGGGCAGTGTGACTGTCCTTGTTCTTTCTGTGACTATTAAATAACAATTCAGCTCAAGTGTTCTAGGCTAAAATGCACCATCTTTTAAATTGTGGGTGTTCAAATCCTGGTACTGTACCCACAGCCAGCACTATAATTAATTACTTCCCTTTTCCCAGGTCCAGATAGTACCAAGACAAGGTAGACAGGTGAATTATTCTTATACCTTGACAAAGACCCAGGACCTACCTCCCTAAAAGGCTTTACTTATAATACTTTTGAAATGATGATGCTGAGTCATCATAAAAAGGTTAAATTTCACTCTTCATATACTTTGTTAATGAATGCCACAATACAGTTCAGAAAGATGGATACCCAACATAATTAAAATAAAAACAAGCAAGTTTCAATTCATTTTTATGAAACACTATAGTATTCCTTAATGAGACCCAGCAAATTAGAAGGTAAATTTCTTTGGCATATGAACTTTATCTCATTCATCACTGCATTCCCAGCAACTAGAAAAGTGGCCCATAACAAGTACCAAAAAATCTACTTCTCAAGTGACTAAATGAATGCATGAATGAATATCGAAAAAGTGAGAGTACATGTTATCCATGAGAGTATAGACATGTCAATCTGTGAGAGTATATTGTATTGAACATGCATACAAGTAAGAAAAACATTATCTTTACAAATATTAATGTACCTTGGTTAGCAAATTATAAGCAGGGTATGCTGAAAATATAGTCCTCACCCAAGGTCCAGTGTGTGTCTATAGGGCAAATTATGACTTTATAAGTCTGTATTATTGCAATTCAGTATCTCTTTAAAACACATTTTGAGCAAAATTATTAATTTAGAATTTGTAGCAACATGAAAGGTGAGCATGGTTGAATATATTAATCTAATTAAGCCTGTTAGCTAACTCTACACACTTTTGAAGAAATATTTAATAAAAACATCTCTAATTGATTCACGTATTTATATACAGAGGGCTGTACCTGAGGAAAAGATTCATAGGTATTCTTTTTAAAATTCTTTTTTAAAGAATACTTTTTTTTTCACATACACATACATACATGCATGTGTATTTATTTTAATACCACAGAAGAAACAGATTTCCCTGTCAAATTGTCTCCTTTGAATGGGTTTAACCATCAGTTTGATTCTAAACAGATTTCATGGAATTGAATAAAGAGTGGCATATTCTTATTTTGGGAGGGTTAAGAACATGAAGTGCCTGCTATTCTAAGCAATCTATTGCTTGAATTTTTATTATTTTTTAAAATGTTTTTATTTATTTATTATTATTATTATTATTTTTTTAGTTGGAGTCTCATTCTGTCGCCCAGACTGGAGTGCAGTGGCCGCTCCCAGCCACTGCAGCCTCGACCTGCTGGGCTCCGGCGATCCTTCCGCCTCAGCCTTTCAAGTAGCTGGAACTACAGGCGTGCGCTACCATGCCCGGCTAATTTTTGACTTATTGTAGAGATGAGGTCTCGCCAAGTTGCCCAGGCGGGTCTCGAACCCGCGGGCTCAGGCAATCCACTCACCTCAGCCTCCCAAAGGCGTGGGATTACAGGCTGAGCCACCGAGCCCGGCCATTGTTTTTATTCTTTATTACAAGACATTTACAATTCAAAATAAAGGGCTATCTATGTAGTAGATATTTGTTAGGGTCTTGGTGCCTTGTCATTTTTATCTGCTTGATTTCCCCTCATTTTTTAAAAAATATTTTATTTTAAAGATGTGGGGTACAATTCAGGATTAGGTATACAATACAAGTGGACACCGTACTGGTAAAGTTTGGGAAAGAAGACATATTTTTTATCTCAAACTACCAAATATTACTAAAATCTTTATTTCTCTACAAAGGATACTAACTTTATTTAATCTTTATTTCTCTCAAATAACACTATCATTACACTGGAAGGTTCCTTAAAAGAACACTTAGTATAAACCAGACATGACTTAGGTTTATCTTATGACCTAAGATGAGCTAAAATTAATAATCAGCAAGCCATTGAGTCAAGTTTAAATTTTAAAAATAAAATTATTCCAAACAAAATATTTATTTCAGTAAACTTCTATACTGCATCCTAAGATAAGTAAATGTTCTGCAAAGACTAAATCTAAATGATGTGGTTAAAAGCTCTTTCCCTCACTGGTGTCAGTACCCTAGAAGACAAGGAAATCTCCAAGACCAAATCTCAAATTATGACTCAACTCAGTAATCATCCATGCTCTAGGCTATGCATAAATGGTTCCTCTGGCATGATCTTCCAGTACACTGTGTTTAGAAGGTTTGCAATGGGGTGATCGTTTGCATCTCAAAGCATAGAAGCTACTGTTAAATAGTTAACAGTGTACCGCCACCAAACAGCATAATTATTCTCTTACAACTGCTCAAATGAAAATGCCTAACAAAAAATATTTGCTTTCTTTTTTAAATGCTTCTTTTTAAAACTTACCATTTATAGAAATAAATTGTTTGGCTTTTAAGTTCGAACAAAATAAAACATCTATGTATCATAAATTTTAAAACATTTGCTTTTATAAATCTGGCTTTAGTATTCCAGCATAGTTCAGTGATTATGCCTTAAAGTGTGGATGTGCAGATTTTGTACAATGTCAGGTAGACACAAGTTGAATGTACCATACAATTACTAAGGGGTTCAATATTTTAAGCAGATTGAGTAAGTGGGCAAGTCAAGATCTGCCTATTGTGCTGGACCAAGAAAAAAATCAGTTTACTATTCAAATTTATTTTAAACCATTCCCTTTCCTCTAAGTTTGAAATTTGTGAGATCACAAATTTCGGGAGTTGGAAGGTATCTTCAGAATAAAATAGTTGATCACCCTGGCTTTATCAATCAGACTGAAGTTCTGAGAATAAGTGACTTGCCCTTGCTGTTGGTAGATGGCAAAGATAGGACTACAACTCAGATATAAGCTTTTAACAAGCCAGTCTGTTGCTGTCATATGGAAAAGGGGCCCTTCCCTGTTGGTTTCTCATTTATACAGAAACTCCTAACCCTTTGGAGTTGTTCCCTTCAACCCACTTCATGGGTGAAACTGACTTGTTTGTTACTTCTGTGTATTACACTTTCTTCCACTCTTTTTCACAGTTACTACCTGAATTCGCAAACATAAGAATATCTCACTGACAATCCCTAAGAGAGTATTATCTAGGGAAAACTTCCAAAATCATGTTTGCTAAGCTGAACAACTTCAACAAGAGAACTTTTAAAATAAACGGTGTTGTTTTAAAAAAATTAAATATATCACAGATTTCTTAAAATTAAACTTTGATCTTAAAGGGTCCATCCCAGTCCAATACTCCAACAAAATGTTTTATACTAAGTGTGAATAAGGACGGAGCTTCCAACAACAACATGTAGAGCTGTCCCAGAGGCTACAGGAGGCAAACAGAAGTATTATTACACAAGCAAAGAAGGGGTCAGGCGCCCTGACCACCTCGGGAGGATGCGCAGTCTCGAACCCTTCCCTGCAGAAGCCAGATGGTCTCTATAAGGGACAGAGAGGGATTAAGCCCTGGAACCTCGTAGAGCGGATTCGCTTGAGGGTCACCGCGGGCCAGGCGGAGGGGGAGGCCCCCGACCTGCCTTCTCCGCGGCCTCCAAGCCCAAGCCCTCCGCCCTCTGCCTCTCCCCTGCCCCCGGCGCTCCCGAGCCCACATACCTGTGAGATAGTTGGTCCACTTGTACAGAACCCCCTCCATGCTTCAGAGCCCCGCGTCGCGCATCCTCCTGGCCCGGCGCCGGCCGCGGTGAAGGGGAAGGCGCGGGGCCTGGGGCAGCCCCTCCC